TTAATCTACTATATCCATAAATCACTTCATTAAAGCCATTCATGGCTGCTGCCAGCAGTCACCAGTTCGCACACACAACACCCGTAGGGACAAATGACTTTTTACTTAGGCAAGAACTACAAAAGGAAACTTTACCGAGAAAGAAAGAAGACACACCTTGTACTTGTAGCTACTCCAACAGTAAATACAGTGGTGTAATGGAGTAAGCAAAGCTAAACCATCAGTAAGTTATAAAATATGTACAATTAAGTGCTGAGATTGGATCTTTTAATAAAACTTTTCCATTAAAAAAAAAAACAAACAACCCTCCACAGTTCCATACTGTTGCTCAGCTACAATGAATAGACTCCCATTTTTAAGATTATTTTCAAAGAACTGATTTGTTGGGGTTTTGGGGGGTTTTTTATTTTTTTTTGTTGTGTTTTTTTTTTTTTTTAATTTTTATTTTTTGCCAAAACCCTGTTTTTTCAGTAAGTGTAGGCAACAAGGGAATTATTGTAAATCACACAGTAAGGATGCTTTCCCCATGGGTACCTACACAGGCCTCTTAACGCCTCATTACCTTGTACCTGATTGCCAGCTGCGTTATAGTTGAAATTTATTTGGTAGACATTAAAAAGCACTAAAAGTATTCCTTTTATTTATTTTTTTTTAAAAGGAAAAAAGTAAAAAGGGGAGGATGATCAATCCCTGTGCCTCAAGAGTTGGCAGAGTACAGCTGCATTTTCCTAACCATCATTTTCTAATATTCTACCATTATTCTCATCACCCCCAAATCAAAGGAATTAATTTAAATCCTTCTACAGCATAGCAAATTCCAAGGCAGGGGAAAAAAAAAGCAACTAAAACCAACAAAAAAAAATTAAAAAGCAAACACACACAAAAAAAGCAAGACCTTTATCCTTTTTCAGACCTCTTCGTCAGATTTCAGTGGAAATCCAGTTCTGAGGTATTTCTATTTCAGATGACCTGGACCATAAAGATTTTTTTTTGGGTAAGTAATTTTTTAGTTTGGTAAGTAATTTTTCTTTAGTTTGGTAAGTAATTTTTTGTTATTGGGTTGGACCCTGCATGCAACAACATTAAAATATGCTTAAATACAGTCTACACATCAGCAGGCTGAAATAAATATTTGCTTCCAGGAGGACTGCAGAAAAATTATCCTCAGGGATGAAGCCATTCCAAATACTACAAATATCTTTAATGAAAAAAAAAAAAAATCTAAGCTGAAATAACTAGCTCAGTGTAGATCGGAGATAAAGCAGTTCAATTAAACTCAGTAATCTGCATGAATAACACAAGTGACCTATGAATAAATTGAAACTTGCAATTAAGAGATATGTCCCTTTTTAAAAAATAAAAATGTTAAGAAAAAAACTGGAGGGAGTGCTGGAGTAATCAATGAATTTAAAGGTCAGATTTTTTTTTTTTTTAAAAGAGTCCCTGCATTTTTATTGGATATAGCCGAACAGCCAACACCACTACCATGGTAAAAAAACCAAAAACAAATCCAAAAGAACTCCACCACAACCAACCATAAACCAAAACAAAAACAAAACATAAACCAAAACAAAAACAAAATGGGAATTTCAGTATAGAAAAAGTTAACTTTTTAAAAACTAACCTATTTAAGACAGTCTTCTTCCTGTGACAGTTCTGCAGGTAGAGCCTAACATTTATTGCATCAGATATATAGATATAGATATATATATATAACATTGCTCTAAACTGGGAAAAAAGCTATTTTTACATTTCAAATGCTTTGCAAGCAATATTAAAAATTATCATATCTCAAGAAAGTTTTTAAGTTTCCATACCCTTTCCCAAAAAGCTTCTTTTCATCTGTAAGCCCTAGTAAATACATTCCACAGTCCCTCTACTTAAAGGGCCATCTGTAAATTATTACACTGTGACAAACAGAAACAAATCAAGAAAAATGACACAGTAAACCTGCTTTATGTGGCTATAGTACATAATCACAAATACTTCAGCAACCATTTATGATGCTTACTGATTCCCCAGATCATAGCAGTTCTATTTTGGGAACTGGCCATTGCTGCCACTGCCACAAGCTCGCCAACAAACTGGTAACCTAGACCTTGACCATTTTTTATTTTGGTCATTTTTGTTAGAGAATAATTGGAGTCCGAATACAATCCCCAACTGTTTTTTGCTCTCGGGAAGAGGCAAACGGAGCGCTGTGCAGTGCTGGCTTTCTCTTCGCATAGGCAACAAGAATTCAAGCCTCACAAAGTGCACAATTAGGCAAATAAAGCATCCAGATGCCCTACATATACTCTAATATTAGTTTAATCATGGGTGCCATGTAAAAATACTCTAAACTAACCGCATTTCAGGGGACCTTCCAAGCTGAAGATAAAGATCATAAATAAGAAACCAATTCCCTGCAGACTCAATCAGGGTTGTCAATTCACAAGAGGTTCCTAGTCCTCCTTCATGATACATTTGATATATTTTAGCACAGCATGGACATATATACTGATACATAGCTACGTCATTGTAAGTCGCATATGCAGGTTTCTATTCATCTCCCCTTTCACAGACTTGCTGGCAGAGGTCAGTTACTTCCCATAAAATTTCTTATTCAGAAGAAAGATCAGAAGGTTGACATTCACTTTTGCTCTGTCAAACAACTTCATGACTGCAACACCTTCATACTGCAGCTGCAAAAGATCCTGCCAAAGAGAATACCTTTATGAGTGAGGAATCCTCAAGAGCTTATAGAGAATATATAAGATCCTGTGATATAGTAGGTTTTTGAGGAATATCTATCACAAAGTACATGGTGTGAGATAGAAAAACAAGAGACTCATTAAAGATCTGCTCATACTGCATGAAAAATAAAACCACTCTAAGGCATTTAAGATTTTAATTTTTTTAATCTGTGTTTATTAAAAAGCAAAAACTACGAAGGATGGCAGAAATAGAAGACCATTCTAAGAAAGCAAGGTTTCAGATCTAGCCATCTCCATGCTTTTCATTTGCACAGTAGCCGTAAAGGTGTTGTAAAGTTTAGAAAGGCTCTCCTATATGCCTAATTATATTATGTACCCATAAAACATCACAACACTCCACAGCACCACTTTCTAAAAATTTTAGTTGCCACAGGTCTCAGTGAGGTGGTTTAGAGTACTGGCCTACATTAACGCCTGACAGACTGAATCGGCATCGTGTACATAGTCTCTAAACCACCTCACTGAGATGAGTTTAGAGTACTGCAATCTAGGGCAGAGAAAGAATTGGCGTTAATGTAGGCAGTATTTCTAGTTACACTTTGCTCTTGTCAACAATGCACCTGACAGAGCAATATGACTCCCTGCACTAATTTATCTCTGCAATGAATTTCTTTCAGCAAGCCCACTCTTGAACAATAGGTATTGGAGAAAGCATTCACGTAATGTTACTGCAGGGAAACACTGTGTGGGTTCCAAAATCAAAATCTGTCTCCTGCAGCTGTCCAGCCAGGGTGACGCTGGAGTAAACAATCATAAAGTTATTTCTGCTGCTTTCTGTAAAAAAAAATTCTGTAAAAAAAAAACCCCCCACTTTTGAGAGTGTTTTTCAGATTGTTCAGACAGAAAACATGTCATTATTATTTTGATTAAGAGCCTGGCAAGTGGAACTTACATGCCACCTTTAAATAGGACAGTTCTTACCTGATAATGTAACATAAAGGTTTCCATCTGTACTCCCATGAATTTTGCTTTTACCTCAAAATCTCCTACTTCTTCTGTTGGACTGATTTCAAATATCACGTTTTTAAACCTATGAAATTTGAGAAATGAAAAACCAGCTCATTACTGAACACGTAATTCCTACTGAAACAGGGAGAGAATACACAAGATGAAATCTGAAGATAAATTCCTAGGAATTCTATTCTTAACTTTTTATTCTATATCCCCATTTGAAATGTAACCGTAAAGGCTGACCAGACACTTACAACAATGAATGGAAGCCTAACAGATCCTATATACAGTAGATCAGACCTTCACACTAGCATAGTAGGAAATCTGGTAGTTTAGCCTGTGCAGTCTAAATAGTCTACTATAGTGCTGCACATCCACACCTCATTTAGTGCACAAAATACAAAATATGATTCCGGGTTGAAAAACATCCTAGTAACAGGCAACTTCTCTGTATTCCACAGAAGATACACCAACTTCTCAAGGCTAGTAAACTGCAGCTGGAGAAACTCAAGCTAGCATTAAGTAGATTTTTCAACAGTGAGAGCTACTAACTATAGGAGCAATTCACCCAAGAAGGTATCCTTCCATGACAGTACAGGTGACAGGGAAGGGGGGGTGGGAAGAGGATGTCATGTTTAAATCCTGTTATACTTTTCAATCAAAGACCTGCTTTGCTCCTACCAGAAAAAAAAGAGAACTGGAAAGCGATCACTATGGAAGGTTTCTTGGCCCTAGGGATACCAGCCTACGTCACCAAAACAATTTCTTCAGCTTTAATAGCTAAGTCTACCAACAATGCTAAATTCCAAGAACAAATCCACAAGACAATCAGTCACAATCTCAAACAAATCTCAGAGCTTCCGTTCCTCAATTGCCAACACCTAGACTAGGTCAAAGAGAAAAGAGTCAAGAATTCAACATACCTGTTTTCCTCTTCCTCTCAGAAGGTTATTTAGCTCTAAAGAGTTTTAAAGAGATACTCACTGGTTACCTTGCAGGTCCTCAATCTCTAAAAGCACTCCCTTCTCATGAAGTCGAGCTGCTGTATATTTTAGAGAAATCTTTTTAGTGTTTTTGCCTTTCATCTCCCGAGGTTTCTTAGAGACTCTGCAAAAAAACACCAATCCAAGCAAGATGATCTGTCAAATAAGAGATTTTGGACAGCAAAAATTTAATCCTATTCGGATGATGGGATGGAACCAGTATAGCTAATTAACTGTGACTAATGCAGCTGATAGATGATGTATTTCTATTAGTGACTTTATCTAGAAAGCACTTATAGCTCAGATCAGACCTTTCGTTTTCTACTATTTACCAATAGTTCTTCTGCTGCAGGAGAAGAGGAAAAATAAAAAAAAACAAACAACAAAGCAACAAACATCCCTTCCCCTCCCCTCCTGCCCCCCCAAAAAAAACCAAACCAAAAACCAAACAACCCCAAACCCATAACCACATGGTACTTCATAGAAAATAGTACCACCTATCACTAGGCAAAAGGAGATCTGGTGACAACTGACATGGAGAAGGCTGAGATTACTTGGCAACTTTCTTGCCTCAGTTTTCACTGACAGTTGCTCTTCCTGCATCTCACTGGGGAGGAAGACTTTTTTTTTCAGGAAAATCTGAATCGTCTTGTACTACTAACAACTGACTCCATTTGGGATAAAAGAGTACAATTCGTGATCAATGCTTTCCTTGTAGGTAACTGTATTATTTTCATTCTCTGCTCCTAGAAAGGATGACAGGACAGACTGACTGAGCACCATGTACAGTATCCGGACAACCTGCTTCATTCCCACTGGACTCTCTACACTCTGGGACCAAAATTCTTTGAAGTATGTCTTTTTGATCCTATTCAGCACACTGCCCTCTCCCTGTATTTTCCCCATCTCTGCTGAGATCCATTTCCTAGAACTATCGCTGCAGAAAAGAGCTTGCAGCAGATGGCATTATGATTATTCTTAGCAACAACCTACAAGTGCCTTCTGTAAGCAGCACTTCTAGGGCCACACTGTGGTTCTGAGATACTTACTTGCCCTTGCTGGCCAGGTTATCCAAGCAGGTTTTGATGTAGCTTTTGTAATAATCCACTTGTTCCCCATAAAAAGTAGCTTTGGAGTTCAAGGCACTGTATGTCTGCTGCAGCTTCACCAGCTCCGCCTTTCTCCTCTGACGGTATCTACGCTGATTTCGGATATCCTACATCACAGAGAAAGACAGGCAGAGACTTAACAGCCATTTGAGCTCTCCAGTTGCTCAAGCCCAGAGCACGGAGCATTTGAAACACAATGTTTGATTTTGCTTAGTCTTCACAGAATCACAGGATGTTAGGGATTGGAAGGGACCTCTGGCTTCATGCTACAAGCTGAAGCCCTCAGTTGCACTTGCCCCAGTTCAAGTATCGGCACTTCTTCTCTGTGTTGACTATTTCTGGAACTAACCAACTCTACAACAGCAGTTAATTTGAACCACTTGTTGCTTTCTCAAACTTCAATGCAGTCCTAGTTGCAGTGACTAGAGTGGGCACCGACAGAACATGACCTAAAGGAAGGCAGCAATTTTTGCTACCACTGGGTAGAAAAAGTATCTTACAAATCAAGCACTATAACCACAGCAGCACACAGACTTCCTTATCTTTCTTTGTCAGTCATCCATCTTTAAGCATACATTACTTTAATACCTGACCAAAAAATACCACATAAGCCTGTGATATAAAATACATTGTCACTGTAGCAATGTACAACAGTATTAGATCACTTCTGCAAGTTTTTCTCAGCTCGCCCCTTTATCGTTTAGGTATTCTTTAATGGGTACATTTAAATAAAAATAACGGTTAGGATGTCCTTCAGTCATGGGCAAAAATTCCTTATGTGATTAAGCTGGTAGAGGCACTACTTAAATTAGTGAAAAGAAGCAGAAAAAAAGATCAGGACTTCCCCTCCAAGCTCTAATGCTTTTCCTTAAAGTGCCTGAGATAATGGCAATGCAGTCATTTGAGAAAACACAAGTGTCCTATAAGAATAAAGGACTTCCCAGATGCCAAGAGGTGGAAATGCCGCAGCAAAATGTAGGCTTTGCATCTGTAAATTAGCTACTACAAAACTTACTCCTCCTGAAAACTCATGCCAGTTTCACAACACTGCAAGCTGGGAAAACTCCATTATCGTTACTAGAAAACCACCGATTGGCACACCTTTGCGATGTCATTGATTAGTTCCTGGTATTTATTTTTTGCATTCACTGTCCCCAGTTCTGTCAGCTTCTTCAGACCTGTTTTGATTTTATCTTTTTTTTCTTGAAGATTTAAGTTGCCATCTTCCTTTACAGACACAGATTTTTTCATCTTATCAGGAGTTTTAGCATCACGAATGGCCCGTTTTTGCATAGCTCTTTGATGCTCTGCTTCCTAGAAGGATAAAACAAAAAAAGTACAAATTCATAAGCAGAGCAATTTTAAGGTGACAAAGAACCAAAACCAGACTGTCTGACCTCTGGCATAACATGGGATAAAGAGTTTTGTTTCATCATTCCTGTACTGTCTCTAACAAATCCATGATTGACGAACACATTCCATGTACAGGAGCCAGTAGAAGACTATCTGCCATTCAAAACGGTCTTCTAAGGTAGTTTCTAGCAACTACCAGAGGAGCAAGATTCACACACGCTATTTATTTCCACTATACTCTCTCCTTATTATTATTGCACACTACTTCAACATCAGTGGAGACAGCTTCACTGCAATACACAAATGCAGATTCCCAAATACACCCACATATACCTAGATAGATGACAATTTCCCTGTCTAAAAATAACGCAAGTAAACAATTTCGTACTTGCTCTGAGGTAGCTGGAGTTTCCAAGATTTCAGTCAGCGTCTCCCCTGGTTGGAAGCGGATTACGTCAACAATTAAACGTTTTGTGCTGCAAAGAAATCAAGGAGAATACGAGTAAAAACTTTATACTGAAAGGTCTTCAATACTGTTCTACTCTGCAATAATACCAATGTTACTGATTTACCTAAAGTCAGATTATCACTTGATGCGTGGTTAGGTAGTCACAGAGTAGACTAGACCAGAACCCTGCAAAGCACTTCACTTTTTTTGACAGTGTGCTATCAGAAACTGGTTCCCTGGAAGGTTCATCTACATAGTAGATAGCATTTGCTCCCCAGTACCTCCTCAAATGGGAAGGACATTACCCTGTATTTTCCAAGACAGTCCCAGTACTGCCATGTAGACCATAGAAGCTGAAATTCCAAGGTGAAAGGTAAAGCAGGTAGCAGCAACAGTGAATTTGTGCAGCCAGAAAAACTCTGCAATATTATTATCCATCCATAAGTGCACTTCAGTGTTTTGTAACAGGTATCAAAAAACTCTACAGGACTATTTTCTTATGTGTATGGCAACTGAGCCAAAGTAGATCCCTGACTCCAATCTGGTGACAGAGTCCTTCCTTAATCTCAACTGCAATTTAATCACAGCTAGCGCCCACTCTAAGGCAATTCTGTCCTGGAGCCAAATGATGAAACCAAATAGCACCTTCAGTACTGTGCAGTCAGGCTAGAATTATTTCTGACATCACACAAAGCACATCACACACACACACTTTCCTCATCATCCACAACTTTTATGACTACCAGCACATCTGGTAAGCCTTTAGTTTTGAAATCAGTGTCACCTTCCTCTGGCAGGTAGGGGAATAATTGATGTATGTTTTGAGAAGCCCAGTTAATTTAAAGTTATTTATGGAGACAAGACTTTCTTCTGGGAGATCACTGACCCATCTAGGCCAAGTGTAAGCTGACTTGAAGAATTCTCAGTGTCTGAATGCATCAGAGAGGGTATATATGCATCTGAATGTCAGGTAGCTACTCTATATATCTCAGCAACAGGGATTTGCTTAAAACTGGCAAAGAGTTAACATTAGTACTAAGTCCTCTGTAATTAAGAGTCTGGCAATGATTAAATCCCTGACAGTCATTGCTCTTCTTCTGTCAGGCTAGTAACACCTCTATTTCCCAAAAATGCTAATAGTCTTAACCTATTAAGAATCAGGTTTGGGAGACAGCGAGCACAGAGAGAAGGGGATCGTATCATAAACCAGAAGAGGAGAGCAGCAACAGCAAAAATATCCTAAAGAGATATTTCCCATAGACAAGGGAAAGCTACAGGGAGATTATCACAAATTACCATAATCTCCCACTTCACTAACAGGATACAGACATAATCCACTCAAAAGCTGTGTAAAGAAGCTAATTCTGCAGAACTAATAAACTTAGCTACAGAGTATTACTCACATATACTAGACATTTAGTTACCCTTAAAATTTCCATGTGTCACATGTATTCTATTGAAAACACTTGCACAGGCCATTATATAGGCCAGCATTGATTCATCTAAATTTTACATTAATAGACTTCAGAGTTAAAACTCCATTGTGATGAATGCTACAGATTATTTAATATGATCTTTAGAAATTATTCACATGCAGGCAAATCCAACTGCTGCTGTCACACTCGCTCACATCTGGAAAGTTTTCTTTTCTGGTAGTTTTCCCCTCCAAAATCACGCAAGATAGACTTTTAAAGAATGACAAATTCAACAGTGATAAAGAACTAATAGGAACAAATTTAACAGCTGCAGCATTGAAAGGACATAGCTACAACCTGCATTTGGATTAAGTCCCATGTTTGTTTAAATTGCATTTCAATTCTCTTACTTTCACATGCAGATTAACTGAGAAAATTCAGGTTCCTCATTCTCTCGAGAAATATACCAGGTAGATATTCCTCACTTACTTCAAAAGAATCGTCCTTGCATCCATCTCTGCATTCTCATCACCAGGAACGTCAAACTTATTAGTGAGTGTGAGAGAAACCTCAGTCTTTGCTAGCATTTCCCTGTTGGGGTCATTAACATTGCCAGACCCTTCTCCTGCCAAGCAGAAAGAGTTTTTAGATTAAATTGTATTATTTATGTTCTTAACTGCTAGAGCTTTGTAATTTTTCCCTACCTAACAGAGACCACAGAAAAACTAGTTTCCTTACTATCAAAAGGACGCTTGAAAAGCCAAAAATAGCTTTTTAAAACATCATCTTGAATACGTTACATACTTTTTCTTCACAAAACTGAGAATGCACAGGCTAGAAAGGCACCACAAAATCTATATGCCTTAAAGAAGTATGTGTATTTCACGCTACCTCAGAATCTCACTCTCAACTGAAAAGAGTAGCTGACCTGCCAAAAAATACTTTATAAATAAGAATATGACCATGCCTCCATGTCCGCGTCCTCATGAGAATGGATTTGCCAAGCAAAGAGCAAAGCCCTTGTTGGCAACCAAGCTTGTAATCTTCTATTAAACAAAGTAAGCTATCCTCTCAAAAAGGAATTTTCTCACTCTAACTATGTCTGAACTTTCATTAGAACAGTTGTTAGGATACTTCCCCTCCCATCTCCCTTTTTTAAAGGGCTGCAGAAAGATTAAACTCTGACATATTAGCCACAATGATGCAATGCACACAGGAGAAATGAAATGGGGAAGGAGGGTAAGTTCTAGCTAAACTCAAGGTTTAAGTTTGCTTAGATAACACTTCTGTTCTTTGCCAGTGCTCAGAAGAAAACGTGCTAGTAATCATTCCTTTAAAAGGTTCCAATCTTTCTTATCAAGTGACTTCAAAATAAGCATTTTGCTATGAAAGTATCCTCTCTAAAAGTTGTGTCCTTTTGCCCACCACCAGGAACTAGATTTCACACTTCAAACAGCTGCAACATAGAACCCATGGTAGGAAAGAGGCTTGTGCAACTTCCCAGTGTTTGTTACATCCTGAAGCAGTGAACTATGACTTGGATTTTTAGAAAACTTTCACAAATTAGTAAAGCCAGTTCCTTCCTCCCCCAGCCAGAAGAAAGAAGGTAAAATTCTTAATTTACAGAAAAAACTGTTAAGGAGGGAAAAAAGCCATTTGTCCATATGCCAAAGATCTCTATAGGGACACGTGATTTAATATGCTTATTAGCACCCTCTGAAAGGAAAGCATACAGATCACCAGAACGGAGGACAGAACTTTGTGCGCACACACACAGAAATGGCTCCACTGTAATGGAAGGAAGAAAAATTGTCAAAATATCCCTCTGTTTTCTAGAGACTTCTGGAGTGGGGTGAGGTAAGGGGGGGTAGGGAGAAGAGAAAGAACCCCTGTTTTTTTCAAGGTAACAAATTCTGCAGTTAGAGAGAATACACTGGAACAGATCTGCTGCTGCTTTTTAGAGCATGTCCTCCCATACAACCTGTGATGATGCCTTAGATAGTTTCTTTACTGCACTTCAAATCATTTAAGTTACTATCATATATTTCTTAAGGACAATAAACTAGACCACCTATTAAGGACTCAATTGTAGGAACCTCTCCGAGATCATCCAGCAGCTCATGAATTGGATCATTGTGCTCAGGAGCAATTGCATCTTGATGGTCTAAGAGCAACTAGATGAACAGAAAGAACATTTACATTGTTAATTGTACATTCTTTTCTAAACAGTAAAATTACATTACTTTGAGCTGGTATCTTTTAGAAAAAGATCTTATTTCACTGAACTCCAAAGCAGCAATATCAACATTCAAAGCTGTGCCATTATCACATACTTTAGAAAGAAACTCAGAGAAGCCACAAGCAAATTACTTAATTCAATAAACCAACAAGCTCTTGCACATGACAATCAAAAGACAACTTTCAGCCTCGTATCCAGTAACTCAGCGTTTCAGTCAGAGGCAGCATTTTCTTTGTAAGCACTGCTTATAAGGAATAACTGTGACCGATGTATACTTACAGTGTGTGTATTGATGATTTCACCAATAGAAATATAAATAACTGGTTTAGTGAGAGTCACTAAGTCAGAATATTCATCAATATTAAATTTATCCTGCAATTCAGGAACCTCACAGGCAGCCTGAAAAAAACGTCTTCAGAAAAAAAGGAGGAGAAAAGAAGAATTAGTATGACTCTGAAAGTCATGTGATGTATCAAGAGCACTAACCCCCCATGACAATCCCAAATGTAGTATCTCTTCTTTAAACTACGGTACATTACGGCATACTACAGTTCATCAGCTTTAGTTTAACGCATCAGAAGTAAGCTAGTAAATTCAATTATTGATATTGGCCGTGTTGACATTAGCTCATTTGCAGTATTCACAGGACTGGTCTCCAGTGACATTGTTCATGCATCCTCCTGCCTCCACTGCAGTGACATCCCTTGCTCCAAGCAATCTCTCATTTTCTTTCTTTCAAAACACAAGAGGTGTAAGACGACGATTCTTGAACAAAAGCTTACTTCAACTATACAAACAGCTACATGGTCAGCCTGCTTTACTCCTGAGCAGCACTGGCTTTTCACATGGAGCCAGGGTTCATAGGAGACACATGAATGTGTGTCCACACTAGTAACCCACATCCAAATTATCACAAGAAACATACGCAGAAGGAACCCTTATTCTGGAAACTTCCAAGTCAAAATATTTGACTTCGCAATCTCAATACCATACAGTGTACTGTTCACAAATTCCAGGTACATTTTATCTGTCATTGTCACTTGATGCTTACAGCAGTCTGAAGTGGAATCTCTTTATTTTCAACAAGCCGCATATTTGACAGAGATAGAATTTATTGTATTTAAAATTTATTATCATCCCTTTTCACTTGCAGTGTTACCTTCTGTCAAACTTCCCAACCTAATTAGCTACGGTCTTCTACCTGAATTTCTGGTACGACTGCGATAGGTATTCATTAATGATGCTTAGGTGAGCATTGTCTCCCATGAACATTTTATTGGATGCAGCATGCTGCAACATCTTTGCAATGGAACCGAGGTTTCTGCGTTGATCCGTGGTCAGCTGACCTCCAGCTGAAAGATCAATGATGTCAAACGCATCTGGTGCAACAATGGCTGGATTCATGTAGCGATAATAGAGTAAGTTGCCAACGATCTAGGAAAGGTTGATTAGAGAAGAAACACATCAAGAAACAATGGTACAGGACTCAACTGAATTTTACCGAAACTGCTCTGACTGTGCTTTGACAATTTTTTTTCTTGTAAACCAGAGGCCCCTTCCAATATAAAGGTTCTGCTGTGCTGCTGTATACAAGCACATGCTATCCCAAAGAATCTACAGTGTAAAAAAAAATAATAAATAAATCATTAGGACTCAAAAGGAGGCCAACACAAAGAGGGAAGACTGAGCACTACTAGTCACAGGAAAATAAAGCAGCAGATATTTCTATGCACAAAGATTTAAAATTGTAACTTATAAAAATGTACAGACAAGAGATATAACGACTACTCATATGAGCATGAGACAATCTATCAGGAGAGAGAACTAAATATAATTGAGTTACTCTAACAGAGGGTAGAATGATCATGGTGTAGAGAAACCTAATAATGCAGTTTCAATACGGAACAAGAACTAATTCTCAAGAGAAGCGTGTAGAATCAGCTGCCATTTCCAACAAAGCAAAAATGGTGAGGAAGCATGGCACACCAAGGAGGTAAGCTGAAGAAACTACTTTCCACTCCTTCTCCAAAGCCCTTTTCTCTTTCAGAATAATTCTTCAATAAGCCAGCAACATTTTCAGGCGCAGATCCCCAGTTAAAAGTTCATGAGAATAACTCGGAAACCATTTAGTCTGGAGGTAAGAAAATCAGAAGTACAGAAGACGAATGGCATTTGACACTTCAAAATCCAATTTACCTCATCAAATGTGAGCAGCAATAAACTTAAAGGCGACAAAAAAATAAAGATGTCACACTATCCACATGCTCACAAATATATTTCTAATCTGTATTTGGTATTTTGCCGAAAATAATTCCAGCAATTCAAATGAATTAATGCAATATACTGGTGTAAAGCGATAGTTCTCACACCGCATGCTTTAGTATTTTCTGGTGGGTCACAGAAATTTTCAGAGGCCAGACCACTGAATCTTGGCTTCACCTGTTTGCCATGTGACTTAAATGCACGGAAGAGATCGGAGTCTGAACAAACAGCTGAAAACAGAGAGGAAAAAAATCTAGCCATTGCTGAGCAGCCCCAGAAATTAGTAACTACTTTCAGTGAGGTCAAGTCTTTGACCGCTGTTTCATGCAAGCCCCTGCTGTACTCTCACAGATTACGTTGTGGGATGACAACAGTCAAAGCTGTTTACTACCAGTAATAAGAAAACACATCTGTGAAAGGAACTGTATTAATAATTTTCAAACTTGCGAGGGGAGAAGTACAGTATCTTATATGGGTAGCTTTTGTTGCTAAAAAATAAAATTAGGAGTAGTCATTGCATGCAGCTGCAGTTTTGACTTTCATGTGGACAGTTACATTGTTTCCACGAGTTTTAATGAAAACCGCAGTTTTGCATCTAAATTTACAGATGGAAGAAATTAATTCACCTGCATAGAAAGAATCGATGTCTCAGAATGGGAAAGCACAGAACTAGAAGAGAGAAGAAAACAGCATTCAGATTGGTAATTATTTTGTAATGAAGCAGAGGCAGAGAAGTTTAAAGAGATGCTGTCAGGTATTCTAAGAGCCAAACTCTGTTTTAACAAGCAGAGCATTCATGAACGTAAAGCCCTTCACAATTACCAAAAGCCATAAAACCAAAGAAATTTCAATGAAAACCCCAAAGCTATACTCATCTAAGAGTGCCTATATTAGGATCCTTTTAGTTCTCCAAACCTACTGAAACACAAAATACAAAACTGACTCAGCATCACAGGAAGTGGCTCTCTACATGTCGCTGTCAAAATATTCTAGAGTGTTACAGATAGGAGAATCAGGAATATTAGAATTTTGCATACAGTCTTTTAAACTTCACACTGTCTCTTTAAGAAAGGAGCAGCTGGTTGTGATCATACCAGCAAAAGCAAGATTTACTTTCTAGAAGCAAGAGTACTCCAAACTCCAGAAATCTAAAGGACCAAATGCCCAAGATATTAAAAGTAAAGCAGAAGCAACAGGATACATCCTTCTGAAGAATGTTTTACGTCTCAGGTGACGTATATGAAGCTAACAATTAAAAGCCAAATGTGAAATGTTTTCTGTTGAAGTAAATAAATAAGCTTTATATAGGTTTACAGGCACTCCTCTCCACACATACACCCAACAAAGGAGAAGAATGAGATGTGCTTGCCACAGTCCATTTGGCTGACAATTATTCACAAAGGTATTCATATCCTCACCTTCAGAAGCTCATCCTCTCCAGCATCAGGAAACTTCTCATGCAGGGAGTCTTTCAGTACCTTGGCAATGAAACGCATTCCATAACTTTGAGAAAGAGAAAAGGGCAAGTAAGACTGCTGCAAGCATGAACCCACCAACAACTTCTCAGGGATAATACCGTAGTACACCAGACTCACGGGATTTTGTCCACTGAGCTAACAATGGCAGATAGGAATTTGTCTGTCACTGTCCTCATGTTTCTGATTGAGGCATCCAGGCGTGTCCTCACCTCTTCGTGATTTAGAGCTTGTTCAGGTGTAACATCGTACGGTAGTTTGCTATTTGAAAAAGTAAAAAACATGAAGGTGAGTATTCCTCAAGCTAGCTGTATTTCAAGAATTTCTAGCTCGACATGGAAACAAGGTTATATTCACTTCACTGCCAAGAGCTGTGCATTGCCTTCGATTAACCTTTCAGGCACTTTAAGAGCTGAAGACTTCTTGCTTTTACTTCCTCTACTCTCCCTTGCAATGACCACTGGGAGAAAAGGCCCAGGTAACTCAAAATTGTATCTTTTTTACAGCATGCACACGAGGCAAAAAAGTGCCATGTGAGATGCAGAGGTACTTCAAGCTGCAAACAAATTGGTGAAAAAGCAAGCTACGCATTTGAACATGAAGATTACAAAAGCTTGGACACAAGCCAAAAGCTAGAACAGTATTCACAAAATCGATACAACATGCTGTTGGTGGGAAGCAGTGCCAAATGAGTAGTTACATTTCCTCTATCAGCTGAAACCACTGCATAGTATTCCAGCGAAGACAGAAAGATGAAGCAGGTAATTTGTAAGAGTGTCTCCTAAATCTCATGTGAAGAGAAGGTCCTGAACACACAGTTTTGCTTCCACTTTTAACATGTCCAGAATTTTGAATCAGGTGTGCGGCAATACACATGACTGCAGATTCCTTTGAATGGGGAAACTCACTCATCTGTATGGCTTTGTTTGTTTGTTTTTAAAGAATATGTTAAAAAAACCCACCACCACAATAGAAACCTCAAGTTCTAGCAAATCACATGCCCTGGAAGAAAAAGAAACCAGAATGACACAAAACCATCTAGCACAGTTGACTTGTCTTCAGTGGCCGATATTAATTAGAAAGACGTTAGGACTAGAAGAACTGCAATGTTGTGCTTCTCCTCAAGCAAGAGAGGTTTTGTTGACCTGCAAATAGTACCTAAGTTTGCACAGGCTATATATGACATTAACAGAGACTAACACAGAACTGATTCCCAAATACTTTTTCTTACCATGATTTCTTTTAGGTTAGAGGGCATCTCATAGCTAATTATCAAGTCAACGTAGGGAAACACCAAAGAGCATTTCTTTTTCCATCTCCTAATGAGATTCCCTTTCAATACCCTCAGCACCACTGCCAGAACACGATCTTTAGAACTCTCAGATGAAAGATGTCTTGAGGAGATGGAAAAACCAGTACCAGTTGGACAGATGCATGCAGTGAAGCCAAGGATGGTTTGGAACTATTAACTGAGCAGTGTAAAGTTGACAAGCAATGTTTAGAAAAACCTAGTGGTAACAGTCCCCATACCTGGCCTCACCAGTCTGAGACTCCATCTGGTTAACCCAAGACTTGTAAATATCCACCGGATCAGTTTTGATATTGAGTGATCTGTCGTCGATGATTTCCTTCACAACTGGCGCCAGGATCTGCCTCAGGGCATTCTGACCGCGAGCACCACGGTTGAAACTTACCACCATTTTAATAACAGTAGGATTTCCAGTCACAATTTCCTGTATTTGGTCTACTTTTGATCTGAAGAAGAAAGAATCTATGTGAAATGAGGTATGTATAATTCTGACAACTTTGGACACATTTCTCAGCATAAACCAAATTGTTAAAGAGCATCACTCACAAAACCGATGAAGGGTTTGTACTAAAATCTCAATACAGTGATAAACTACAACACTGTATAAAAGCAATACTGGAACACTTCTCAAGAGACATTAGGCAAGAAACTTAGGACCTTTGTTTGGGAATTCCAGTGCAACTTGCCAGTAGTCACCTCAATGACAACTAATGCAAATCCAACTGTATTTCTATTTGAGAGCACGATTCAAAAAAAATACAAAGGAAACAGAGCATGTTTTATGTAAAGAAGAAAAAGAACAGTAGGTTTCTTTCAGTATTTAAAATAAGAAAACAAGCAACCGACAACAAAAGCCACTCCTAGTATACCGCTATGTGAAATACAGCATCAGAGAATGAAGCGTCTACATTTCCCTGGACTACTATTCCAAGCATGAATTTTAAGAGGAGGAAAAAAAAAAAAAATCATCTTTTAGAAGTTATTTGTATCAGGGCATATACCATCTACATGCTTAGAAAGCATTCCAAAGAATGCTTAAAGACTAGCTCCTCAAAAATTTTATTGTGCATTCTTCTTCACAACAAGTTGCACAGCTCCACATTGTAAAGATCTGAATGTAAGACCAAGCTCCTCAGGTCCAACTGATCAAGCAAAACATGCCTGAGGATAGCCAGAGTCCCTAACACTGACAGTAAACAGAAATGCCAAACAAGAAAGTTGCCTCATTAGCTTCTGGAAATCCAGAGAGCTTAATGTTAGCTCTCTCCCTGGCTTGTAAAGCCCGACTTTGCAGTTTGTTGGAGGTTTTTATAACCAGGCACTGGAGAATTGAGATTAGACTGAATTTTTGTATGACTTTGCACCAGATTAAAAGTAGCTGTCATGTTAAGCACCAAAATCTTCACTGAAGTAGAAAGCCCTCATCCTCAATGGACATACTCAACTCCTCCTTTATAGACTACGTTAAGAGCAGACATGAAAAGGGAAGAGAACAATGACAGTTTACCGTTATCTGCGTATTAGCATGAGATATAACGTGAAAACTGCCTCAATTTGAGAAACTGCCAAAAACTGATTTAACAGCAAGAATGTGCCACATGCTACCACGTACTTGATCTCTTCCTGCAATGCTGTTTGGAAAAGCCGTAACAACAAGTATTCCTCTCTTTGATTGGACGCATAGTTATACAGCGTGAAGATGACGGAATCCATGAACTTTGTGGATTTGTTTTGAGGCATCTGAAAAATCAGCTTGGCCAAATAGGTTGGGTTAGTCTACAACAACAAGAAAAATCACTTAGTGTGCATGTCCACGCAGGCCAGTGTTGTTAAGAACTATGGTGGCTCAAAACTACAGCAGTGCATAAGCAAAGACTGTGCCAAAACATACAAGCCTCTAAGACAAGAGATTACTGAACAGTGTTAGAAGCTGCTCACCTGAAGCAAGTAGAAGAGATGTTGATAGGCTTCCAGCTTTTCTCTCTTTTCTTTGCTCAAAGCTTTCAAACCTCCCCTTTGTTTGTTCAGCATCATCATGTCAGAGAGCTGTTCCTTGTTCTTCTTGGTAAGTTTTTTGCTATGAGAAACAACATCCTAGAAAGAAAGAATAGGGACAAATTCCACTCTTAGGAATTTTATAACAAGCAATATTGGAAAACAGTTGTATCTGACAGCCCACTTCCCTTGTACATGGAAAGACAGTCAAGGTATGCCTGGGGCTGTTAAAGTGAAGCATTTTTTTCTATGACAGCAATTTCTCTGACTAGAAGTACATGTTCTGCTTTGTCCCTAACTTTCTGAATTTGTCTAAAACCCTAGAAGGGTAGTCACCCTTGGCAGCAATTACTATCAAAGCCAGTAGGATACTGAAGATGTCCGAAAATGTTTTCCTTTTTAAATTTGGCTTAAACCCTAAAAATCCTGTTTCCTACTCAGATAGCTCGCTACCTCTATACACTCTGACAGAAATGGCACTTTTAGCTGCAGGCACCAGCCCAAAAGGGGCAGCCTCCTTCCCAGACCAATTTCACTACACCAATTGCAATTTTACACTGAGAGGAGCCCAGTATCATGGCATCCAGGACCAAATGAAAAGCTGACCAGAACTTCAGCTTAAAGAAAAGGCAATACTGTATCAGTAAGAGGTTGTTTTTATTAAGTTTATCATGTCAGCCAAATGATTGAGGGAACCTCCTTTAACCGACAAATACTAAGTGGCATGAGCGTGTCTCTGCAAGCCCCTCACTGCAAGCTTGTGGCATGTCACTTGTTTAACCACAAAGGAGCAAAAAAACCAGTTCTCAAAGCCTTCAAACACACAACCTGCTGGATTCATTAGGTCAAGACAGTCTGGCATTTCCTACCTGCAATGTAATTTTGTTTTTCACTAGTAGCCCAATTTTGATGTCCATGAGATTGAGGTCATTTTCCAGTTGCTGATTGGATCGGATCAAGGTTACAACTTCCTCACGTAGTCTCATTAGCTCAAGCTCCTCCTGAAAATCTTGGTCACTCTGATCGAGCAAGTGGACAAATTTCCGAACCACAGCCATAGGTGGGTTTTCAGCATTAACTAAAAATGGGGAAGAAAACATGAGGGGACGGGAAAGAAAAGTAAGTATATGCCTCATCTGCATTTAAACAGCACATCAAGGAGCAGCCAGAATAAAATTAGCACCACCATGTCTAAACAGCTTCTGACATTTTGAATGTCTTGTTTTGAGTAAAACAAGAGAGAAGTAAAGAACAAAGTCAGTATAAGCCTAGGGTAGTCCATACCACCAAAGTTAACTGCAAGGCTACGATTCCATTTTTCAGCAGCAAAAGCAACAGCTGGAATCAAGTCTTCTTTCAGCCTCGAGAACTACCTACTCTCTGCATTGCCCTACCAACTTCATCCCAATCACGCTTCAAAACTGTCTTGATGTTATAGATCACACTAGCAACAGATTGCAAATAGATTTGAGGGACATAAATTTTATCCTCTTGGCAGTACTTACTGAGTGTTTTGTAGTCTTCTCGCGCTTTGTTTGCTCGGATAAAGGCTTGAATTTTTACAACATCATTTATCTAGGATTAAAAAAAAAACCAAAAACAAACTTGACCTCATTCTGGAAAGAGTACAGAAGTCAGGTACTGAATTCATTTAACAAGATAGGCTCTTACATGGTTTCTGAAATACTGCAGACGATCTCTGTAACGTCTTCTGGCTTGATACATCCTGGTCATTGATTGAATCTATAGAAGGGTAACCAAAATACTCAGATAAAAACCTTTCCTACAAAGTTCACTACCCAGAAAGTTTACCAAAAAGGTCATCAGGGAGCCTTCACTACCTTCACTACTTGGTCCTTTTGTGCTCGCAGGTAATCCAAACGGATTTGGTATGCTTTCCTCTGCTTGTAGCCACGCCACTGGGACTGAAAACAGAAGACAGGTACGCTGACTTTACTTTTCTAATTAAAGAGAAGTAACTACAAATCAGAGCTTCTTTCTGCTCCTCAGCTTTCAACTTCCCTTTTGGCTAAGTAAAATGTATGGGAGACATGCTTATCTTCTCAAGAGATACTGAGTGTGAAGCATTAACTCTTCAACAACTGTAATCATGACAGACTTGAAATTACCCCATGAAGCGCCTGGGCCTTCTGAAGCATAGTTAGAGATCAAGAATATAGCTAAACAGTCAAGTTCACAGATACTGTTCTACACTAAAATTCTGCGTTAGATGCCCCTGCTGTAGAGAACAGTGATGTGACATTCTAAGCCTTCAGAGCAGACTCACTGCTACTCATACTTGGAATAGAAGTTAGGCAAGGGGTGGAACTCCACTTAAAAGGAGAGAGTGTTATTTTAATGAGCTGGGAGTGGTTTTGAGGGTTCAAATATGCAGGCAAAGCACATGCTACATAGGCAGAAACTAACACACATATACTGCTCAAATAATAAAGTGGTAATAGGGTGCAAAGCTTCCATTTCATTTGCACATATTTCAGTTACAACACCAGAAAAAGATTTTTTTCATTGTTCTCCAGTACTGCACCCAGTTCTGGGGCCTCCAACATAAGAAGGACATGGACCTACTGGTGCAAGTCCAGAGGAGGCCACGAGTACAACTCGAGGGCTGGAGCACCTCTTCTACGAGGGCAGGCTGGGAAAGTTGGGGCTATTCAGCCTATAGAACAGAAGGCTCCAGGGAGACCTCCTAGCAGCCTCCCAGTACCTGAAGGGGCTCCAGGAAGGCTGGGAAGGGACTGTGGACAAGGGCAGGGAGTGACAGAACAAGGGGTGATGGCTTGAAACTGGAAGAGGGGAGATTTGGATTAGCTATAAGGAAGAAATTCTTTGCTGTGAGAGTGGTGAGACACTGGCCTGGGTTGCCCAGAGAAGCTGCAGCTGCTCCTCCCTGGAAGTGTTCAAGGCCAGGCTGGATGAAGCTTTGAGCAACCTGGTCTAGTGGAAGGTGTCCCTGATGATGGCAGGGAGATAGAACTGGATGAGCTTTAAGGTTCATTCCAACTCAAACCATTCTATGAGTCTATGTAATGTGCCCAACCTCATGTTGAATTACCCCACCATCTCATTCAGGTCCTCAATCCTCCAAATCCCAGGACAAATTTGAAGAGAAGAATCTTACTGAGGAATACCGAAAAGCATATTTTTTCTCTTCAGTTCTTGAGGAATCACAAAAGTAATTCACGACCATAAAGACACACAGCGCACTTCATATTGCCCTATTCCCAAAATACTAAATGTTATAATAAAATGTAAGGTAAAACTTCCTCAAGTAAGTTTCTCCAATTCTGACTAAGAAGACTTTATTGATTATATATGACATGGAAAAGTAAATAATATACCAAAACTCTTTGGGAGAAAGAAATGCCTTTAGATAATTTGCAAAATGAGGTGAAGACAAATGTGTGCTGTAACTGTTAGAACTGAGTAAAAACTGTCAATAAGCTTGCGTAGAGAAAACAAATGCAGAGTGCACATTTCAAACATAATTAAAGGATATCATTACCTGAATACAAGTGATGGCTGGGACTTGTTTCTTCAAAAAATTCATTCTTGAGTTGAATTCCTGGCGAACAAGATAACCTCGACAGCAAGCCTGAAGTTTTGTAATCAGGTTCTCATTGGCCAGCCACAACTGCTCTCGGTTGTATGCTGCAGTGACTCCAGATATGGTGCTCTGGATTAATGTTATGGTAGGAAGAAGAGACAGAAAAAGAGAATGGAGATAGAAGAAACAGGGTGTTAGATCAGCTTTCCCTATTGTGCTTATGAGAAACTTCCAAGTTGCCTTTCAATAAACAGCAACACCATGGTCCTGCACCCTTTTACCGACAGGATGAATTTTTCTGAAATGGGACAAGGAATTTTGATGCACATAATCTGATGATGCCCAGTGAAATAAATGGATTACTAAGCTTGTTAACATGACTATGGTGTTGAAGCATTCTCTCTTGCAGCTGCATTAAGGATGGGAATGGTAGCATCATCAAATTTTCAGAGAAAGAGCATGTGTTATCTACCCTACCTGTATATCCTCTCGTGACAGCTGTGTGTCATTTTGCACAAATTCCACTGGTTCATCCCATCCTCCCTCTCTGGTCCGCAGGTTATGATAATAATGATATCCTCCTCTCACCCAGTGTTTCACCCATTCACTGTCATTGCCCCCTAAGAGCAGAAACTGCAGTGTAAGTCTCAAAAACAGACGAGTGTCTTATCTTCCCCACATACAAATACTACAACTAGGAAATTCACGTATACAGATGGTCCTTCTAAGCAAGAGAAGGAATGTTTCTGAGTCCCTAATGACCTCATACAGGAACTACCTAAACGTAACACATTCTACCAGTGGAGAATATTCTACTATTCACTTTTGAAAAAAAAAAACAAAACAAAACCAAAAAAACCACAACAAAACAAACAACAACAAAAAACCACCTTAGTTCACAAGGCATCCACAATTGCTACCTGTAACACAAAACTTCTCCCCAGTGTCTTTTTCACCTCTGGTTCTGATTCTACATGTAATAATTTTGAATTTATTTCACTAACAAGTTAGCTACTTAAGATCACCTGCTGCTATTTTTCTTCTCTTGACTTCTGACAGCTCTCGCTGGTAGGCCTCAGCACATTCTGGAGTGACTCCATATAGCCCAACATCTGGTGAACGCAAGGCACTCAGGGTCTGGCTAACATCACCATGGTCTACTGCTTCATTAATGGCCAAAATTCCTAAGGAGACTTTGATAACACAAGGAAGCAGGTTATCTTGGCATTCAGGGGCTCAGTGACTCACAGTAAAAACAGAACAACGGAGTAAAGCAAGGCAACACAAACACACACTTACAGTTGGTGTGTGTGCATATACACAAATATTTAAGTGTACATACATACAAAATATAAATAAAAACCAATCAGATAACTTGCAGTATAGAGGCCCCTTCAGTATGGGGTGTCCAACCATACCTGGTACTGCACCTGACAGCACATAATCTGTAAACCCTGAGCCTCAGCATGGTGCTGATTTACCACTAAAATTTCTCAACAACACACAAAGTTTTAGCTCTGCTCTGACATCTGTTTTAGTTAAGGTAGTTTCTTCTGGCAGAGTCAGTCACAACTCAAAATGGGCCTTCTCAATAACTAGTACCATGCATCCCTCGTGAAAAAAAGCATGCAGTAGTTTGTAAACAAGTTAAAAAACCTGACTGGGGAAAGACAGGGGGCAGAGAAAGAGAAAAATAACAACATGTCACTCCAGGCCTACTCCAGAACTGCAATCCGAATACAGACATATTTGCGAGAGCACAGAAATTGCACTGACACAGAAAACATGAAATACAGTAACTTTCATAACTAGGTAAGACTGCAAAAACATCTATTCATACATGCATATATAAGGGTATCTGAAGATCTTATTCAGGCTTAAGGGCACATACTTTAATCTTGCTTTTGACTTAATGTTCTGTGGCATTACATTCAAACTGCTGCCTTGACAAAGTGCATATACAGAGAACAGGCTATTAGAATATATCACAAGACTTGAAAAACTCTCATGTTTTGTTAAAGAGAAAGCTTCTGTCAGGAACAAACCCACCCCCAACCCCCCCCGCCCCCCAAAAAAAAAACCCAACCAAACCCCAAACAAACAAAAACCCCCGAGTTAAGCAAAGAGCAGTAATTACATCATTGTTTCTGGGGATAGAAAAGACATAATGATAAAGACTGGGATGTAATGACAGGTGGGCCAGTCCATCTGCAAATTGTGCTAACAAGCAAAGGTGGATATCACTGATGCATGTTATCGTCTGTATTTGAAAGAGATGCAAGGTAGTCTAGAAATACCTAATAGAACCGAGACAAGACAACGAGATGCCACACAAACAAAAGGTAACGCACACTGGAAAGCACCATTTAAATTATGCACATGAACATTCTCATACGTAACTAACCACCTACAGACACACAGAATTAGTTGCAAATGACAAACAATTTGATAGAGATTTGCCCAATGAAGTCACATCCAAAACTGGAAAGATAGCATATCTCCCCAAAAGATCAGAAATATAATATTTGAAGAATCTGACATTCACTTCCTTTTCAAAGAAAAATTACTACACCAGAAGCACACAAGTGCATTTTATCTCCTTTGCCACATTTATATGACATTTCTAGCTCCCAACCTTTCCTTAAGTAACCAGTGTTTGGTTGATAATGGGGATTCATTGAAATATTGTGCAACAATACTTACATCTCTCGGACTCCTCTGTGTCCTTGTTAGCCCTGTGAATCCCATCCTGAATTTCATCTAGCCAAAGTACAGCTGTTTCATCCTGTGTGTCCTAAGGAGAATATGATGAGAAAAATACACACAGTGTGAGGAGAAAAAGTATCACTATTTTGCAAAGTAAAATAATCTGTACTCAACAATAGCCAATATAGGAGTTTTCCATATCAGAGCGAATAAGAAGCATTTCAGCCTTTCTAACTGACTTCAACACAAGGACATCACACACATTTATGACTAGCAGAGACTACTATGGCACTACCAGACCCAAAGTCTCCTCCCAGTCAAAAACCCTTTTCAAGAAACAGAACAATGACGAAATTCTGTCAATGGGAATCATTCTGATAAGGAAATGGAGTGCAAGGTCAATAACTCAGTACCAGTTAGTCCTAAAGCTGTACTTGCTAAGAGGACATGACTTTCCAGGAACACAAGTTAAGTCCTTTGACAGAACACGACTACAAAGAGTTCTCAGAATAAAAAGCTGCCAATGCAAGTCTGTGTGCAGAAGCTAAAAATTCTCAGTTAACTAATGCCACATCAGGCTGTTCTTGTCCCTGTCCACTAAACTTCACAAGCCTGTACAAACTAGCAAACCAAAAAGCATCGTACATATCGTGGCTGAGTGTATACACACAACAGTCAAAACCACATTTTAAGTCTTTGTTTCCACAGGTTGCTCGTCAGGGAGCAATGATGCCACAGTATCCTGTATTGGGATTTGAAGAAATCCAGACAACTAATGTTACATATAGAAATTGGAGAAAAGACAAGTGTTTAGCAAGTCCCCAATTATATATAAAGAACAATGATCCAGCAGTTGCCAAACATAGCTTCTCCTCACCCACTGTTGCTTCCTGTAGGTAACTACTGAAAGAAATGCTAAGACGAAACTGCCACCCCTCTGACAACTCTCGTCATACAAACAGAACACAGGAAACATTTACTTCTGGTATGGAATAATAATCACACTGCACAAAAGATCCACTATTTACAGTGTTCAAGAGCTTTAGGGCCAGACTGAAAAGGAGTGTTTTCTTACTTGCCCTCCACATTTTTCCCCACTGTTCTGACAGGTCTGAAACTGCCATGCTTAATGATATGTCATTCAAGAGTAACACATCTTTCACAGGCAGATTTCATTTGAAAGCCCAGATAGTCCTGGGAGAGTACCAGCCATAGTAAAACTCTTGTTCAGGAAGTGGGGGAGAATAATGAAACAACTTCCCCTAACGTAATCTCTACCAGCAGAAGTCAACCAAAAGACTACCAAAACCATCTATCTCATGCTTTCCTACAGATTTACTTACTGTTGCAGGCCTTCCAGAAGGTACACACAGTGTAACATTCTACAGGGCCTACTGTTTTTCTCTCTCTCTACTCATCACACGAGGAACTTTACATTAAATAGCATTCCTCATTCACATAAGCAACTGAACAACATCTTGTGCTGAACTACAATCCGTATCAGCCTCAAGGTATAGAAATCACTAGTTAGTAACAGTTGACTTAAGATAGCAATGATCCTCCCCACAGTGTTACTTTATAATATGATCTTTCAATTTCTGAAATTACTGACATGCTGCTGGGAGTAGCTCTAAACTGAACATATGCCCAAATAAGGTAATTTCACACCGACTGAGAAGTTACCAGCACAGCCTGGCACAAGCTTAAAGCACTTAAGCACACACTAAAAAAAAGAGTCCATTATTTCATTCTGACTCAGTTGGAGGAAATGTTTCAGCACAAAATGGGTTCCTGAGGAACATTAACTCTTTCAGGGCCCTTGAGGAAGCTGCTTAATAGTTTTCATTAGAAATTTGTACAGTTTTCAGCTATTGCCATCATGTCGGTTCACTTTTAGTTTTTTTTTTTTTTTTTTAAAAAAAAAAAAAAGAAAAAAAAAGATAAATAACCCTGTGTTCAACACAACCTAGATCTTAGTTTTTATGCAAAATTCTGCACTGGTATTAGAGCAACGAGCTTAACAGCAGCAATAATAAAAACAAAACAAAACAAAAAACCCAAAACCTCTTAAGCCACTGAAAGCAGAGATGTCTGCTACTTCTTCAGAAATAGATGAGAAAAAACAAACAAACAAAACAGTATCCTATCCACACTACTCAAAAATCAGTTGCATACACATATGCACACGCTCATCCTCTTTCCTAAAACCGTAAAGTGAGATTTGCTATTCTTCTCCCCATCTTCAACTTCACATTTAGTCAGTTAGTGAAAGCAGTACAGACAGGTAGAAGTCTTTGGCTAATAAGACAACTACTACTCAAAAAATTGTTATCAACAGAAATGTCACTAGGTGAACAACAGGCATCAGTATTCGTTTTGCTAGTAGCATGGATTTTGCTTCTTTATTTTTTTCTAATTTATCACTTAACAGATTTTTCCACTTTCAGAAACTTTATTTTTGCTGTATATAACTAGGCCTATGACTACATTTGACAAAGAACACACAAAAAAAAGAAACTTAAACTTGCAGGAAACTTGTATTTGTAAGTTCAGAACGCTTAGAATGAACATGGTCTCCTCCAGAAACAAGATACATGTCTCATTCTGGACCCAACATCAGCTGTAGAAAGCCATCTCATGCAGTTAATATTCTTATACTCATCTCTAGTTCATGTAGACTCATATGGTCTGGCTGCAAATCTCTCTTTAGTACAAAAAGATGCAAACTGACTAGGTAAGGTCAGTTGTTGGTATGCAGAATGCCCAGATCTCCACTTCCAGCTTCGATTCCTGGCTTTCAGGACCAGTAATAAGCCCATTACACAGACGTAAAGGTTTTTTAAGAGGTGCATTTAATTGCACTCACCTGTGCTTTCTCTCTCTTGGCTCGTAGTAGTGTGTCCTGGTAATGCTGTGCTACCTTTGGGGCTACACCCTCCAATTTTGCTGCAGGAATTTGCAAGGCTCGTATAGTCTTTTTAGTGTCCCCTTCATCCAGAGCTTCATTGATAAGACCAATTGCCAGAATCCCTAGGGAGGAAGGCATAGGGGGAGAAATACAAAGTTCCATTTTTGATTAACAATAATCATAAGCATTGCTTCAGAAGAAAAGTGCAGTTAGTCCTTTCTAAACCAAGTATCAGCTGAGAATTGCAATATTTTTAACAGAAAACATTATTTACTAATAAAGGAAGCAAAACTATTTCTCCACCTTACAGTAGTCATAATGCCTGGACACTGCAATTAAAACAAGAAGCAAACAAAAAAAAATCCCAAACACTTGGGGAGACCAAATGCAGGGACAGAATTGAGTCCTCAGATATCTCTCTCAGAGCCACTAGAAGAGAACTGTCAAAGCCCAGATGGCCAGAGTTAATAAGTTACAGTTTTCCAACACTCTAGCTTCTTTAGAAATTAATCTTCACACAAAGCTAAAGGTTTACATGGAGTACCATTAAAAAATACAGTAACTTCATATTTTAGAAAACTTTTTTATTAAACATAGGTAGTATTAGCTATATTATCAGATATGTGGATGCTATTCAAGTACAATAAAATGCAGCTAGATAAAAATCAACAAAAATATCTTGTAGTTAGCTCAATGCAAACAGTCTACATTATACATGCCCTACCCACAGCAACCATCGTCTCCTGCGAATCACAAAATAACTTAGGCTCAGATGGACCCTAGAGGTCATTTGACTGAACTCTCTGCTTAAAGAAGGATCAGTTCGAATCATGGTTTGATCAGTGCAGAACAAAGAGATCTTTTAGACAAAAGAAAGTAAGGAGCTCAGTGTGGGGATTTCCAACTTTGGTTTATGTATCCAAATATCATGATTTGTTCTTCTACACAGGAAAGAGAAACACAAAACAAAAGTCCATATAAAAACCAGAACATCTTAGGGAAGAGGTGGTATTTCGATGCAATATTGATTAGGGAAAAATATACATTCAGGACATTGCAAGAACCACTAAAATGATGGCATGGTTTCTGTCAAAAACCAGATATAACTGTTTGACTTGGGAAAGGGCACAGAATCTAAGTAGTAGCTCTCTCCGATTAATTTGCTAATACATGCATGACAAGACTACTCCATGGAACAGCAATATGTTACAGCTCCTCACTAGGATGCATTTTAAAATTTGAAACTATTTACAAGGATAGTGGAAATGAAAAAAATATATGCTCATATGCCTTGAGGGCCTTCTCAGACTAGTTTAACTTATTCATAGAGAGGAGCTAAAAAGTGTCCTTCCACATATGAAGCAGACCGAGGAATTAAGAAATTCCCCATGAGAACTGTTCTCATTTTATCATTACAGGATTTTCTGCATCTTTTTTTTACAGGATAAGGAGCGTTATAAGAAAGCGTTGAGGCTATATGAACTTCTGCTGTGACCTCTTACATAGAAAAAGATACTATGAAACTAGGACCTCCATGTGTGCACATCCCAGTGTGATCTGTGTTTGCATGGTTTCAACAAATCTGCTCATGTGACACAAACAGGAAACTCAGCATCTATTTAGAGATCCAGGAAACAAGTTAATCAAGATAGCAGGCTCTTAAATAAAAATTTAACCCTCTCTAGAGTATAAACTCTTTTCAAGGTGAAACACAACTCACCAACTACACACAAAGTGGCAAAAGACATCTGTTTGTCTCAGTGTACAATATAAACCTTACAATCACCTCCACATTTGTGGCAAATCTCTCCCCTCTTATAATGCAATGTTTTGAGCTAAATATTACAAAAATGGCTGGAAAGTAAATGTCACACTACTTGCATATGCAGGAGGTTTTCACTACTAGTCATAACCAAAAATTATGGTCTCTTAATGAAACTGAAAAAAAATTAATAGAAAATTAAACTACCAGAGACAGAACCTCACGAGGATCTATTTAAGAATAAGTTTGTTTAATTGTGCTATTTTCAAGGACTTTTCTATATCCGCTCTGGACTTCAAGTCAACTAATACTGTCTTGGAGAGAGGACAATTAGTCTAATTTTTTGTTTTGCTGAAATTTTCATCATTATGCTCAATCCCAGTCTTTTATCACTGCTAAAATACACTTATTAACATAAACACTACTAAAAATATAAATTAAAAAAATGCAGAACTAGAAGCAGCATAGAAGTTAGGTTAACACCCATTCACATTTCTCAGCTTGCATCAGGAATTTTTTCTTTCACGAGTATTTAAGTTTTGGTATTATCGCTTGCTGCATGCACTTGTAACTCCTATGGGTTTTTGCATATTTTCCAATCAGGGATTATTTTGCACTTTACTAATATTACATACTAAAAGGCAACAGCTGTGCAGGTATATTCTTCTTCTACTGGTCAGAAAATCAGTTATCAGCAAATACCAGTCATGCATAGTATTAAAACAGAAAATAAAAGCTTCTAGCTTCCTGACAGAACTAACTGTAAACAAAACAATTAACCTCTTAAAAGATCAGCATTTCAACTCTTAATTTGAGATTTGGGTCCCAATATCTGGAACTAAAAATCTGAATGGCATCAAACTGATGAGATAATTAAATGTTCTTTGAAAAAAGAAAAATCTGTATCAAACGTTTTAAGTAAATCACTTGAATACATAACTGTTGAACAGACAACATTTCAAAATAAACTTTTTTGGGCATCTCTGTTCATTTATCACTGAATCAAAGTAACTGCAAAAGTCTGTTTCTTTAATGCAGTATTTGCACTACTAATCTTCAAAGAAGTTGTAATTTGGAAGTAGCATTAATACAGACAGGAGTTAAAGGACTGAGAATAAGACCTGGAAATAAGACCTCATCTCTCTGTTGTTCATTCAAGTGCCTCATCCACTGTAGAAATGCATCTGACAGATCATTAAATCTGAAAGTCGTCAACACAAAGATGGGTAGCTTATCTTGCATTTGCAGGTCAGATTACCCACAGATAAAAAGTAGAAGGGGATTCTGGACTAAGTCTGTGGAATTTCCACTAAATACTGGAAAAGTAAAAAGGCCAAAGCACATTGAAAAGAAGGCCTAAAAGGGAGAGGAGGAAAACCTGAACAGGGCAGAGACTGAAGCCAAAGAGAGAACAAGACTTCAAGAAAAGTAACTTCTACTGAACGCAGCAAATAAAGAAGGAGGATGGAGTACTCCAAGACTGGGCTACAATTAACTCGGCTACAATTAACTCGGACATTTTGGTAATACTAGTTTTTGAGTTTTTGTTAAATTTGAAAGATTGAAGCAAAACTAGAAAAGATTCTAGACTAATCCTAGACACTGATAGCAGACAATGCATTTTGTTATCCAAAACAGTTGAAATTTGCATTAGAAGGATTAATAAACTTTTTGGGGATACTGATTTCAATACCACAAACAGTCCTGACTGCCTGATCTCTCCAACAACAGCCCTGCTATCAAGCCTTTTATATTGCAGACCACCAAGTCCTGCTCACAACTGAGATCTTCCCAGATATCTAATGTATGACACAACTACAAGTCAATCAATAACTTTTTGTATTGACACGCACCTAATTTTATCACTTATGAGGTAGGATCAGCCTAGCACGAATTGAGCAGAAAAACTTACTTTCATGTTCTTCATGCACAACTATGTTCACATGATCAAGACATGACTGGATATCATTCCAGGTGATAAATTCATTTCCTTCTGCACGTGATTGAGTTTTCAGCTTCATCAATTCATCGATATATCTGTCAAAGAACAAACACCAAAACCAACAAACATCACATCACAACAAGCTGGCCAGCGAAAACACAACACAGCATAAAAACTGTGCACTAAGTGGAAGAGGTAACATGAAAGTTGAAACTGGAACAAATATGAAAAGGGGGAAGAAGAGAAAAAGTTTGAGTGCAGGATGTGAAATAACTGACAGAAGCACTAAAACGCTGAATGAGGGTCCAGGGCAAAGAACGCAGTGGGTGAGCTGGTGTACTATTAGTAACAATTTAAGAGTACCACAATATGGCTTTAATGAGAAATCTGTGAGAAAGTGTTGAGAGACAGTCTGGAAATCAGACCAGTAAGAAACAGTAATTGCAAAAACAAGTTGCAAGAGTCAACAGAGATTAAATCAATACTGTAATAAATAACATAGAAAGAACATAAACTGTAAAGGGGGAAAAAAAAATTGAAAAAGTCACAGAATATAAGCAACATCAAGGACAGACATGATTCCTTGAAATATCCACCTCTGAGAGTTCTCATCTTCAACATTCGTAAGCCCTGTGACAGGACTGCTCAGTTGTTTCCACACTGTATTCACATCCCCTGAATCCAAAGCCCTATTAATCAGGGCCACAGAAGACAGCATCTCTACAGCAACAGATAATTCTGGGTGGGTGAGGTTACCCTGCATACAAAGAGGACAACAAGTTAATTCCACTCACTCTTTACAAATTATTGCTGCACATAGAGCACAGAATATTGTCAGAATAGACATATAAGCAAAGGGAAAACATTTATGACACAGAAGTAGAAAGATGAGTATCATAAACAAACCTAGAACCCGAGCTGGAGATAAAAGTAGAATCTTACAGGGGCAAGTAGCTCAAGATTTAGGGATTAAACTTCTAATCATATTAGAACAGACTGAACACCAGAGCAGTTCTATGAAAACTCAAGACAGGTTTATTCCAGATAATGCATTTAACAAAATAGACAAGGTAGACCTGGTGATCCGTACCAACTTCCAGAAGAGAGAATGCAGTACTTACTTCAGGACTCTGTTGCTGCAAAGTGGCCAGCTCCCTTTGGTAAAGATCTGCAGCAAATGCATAAACCTCTGGTAACTGGGCCTCTGGATTCATAATTTCTGCCACAGTCTTCTCAGCATCACCCATTCGAATTGCAGAATTAATTCTAGCTACTGCTGCCAGCCCTAGAAGTTTGAAGAAGTAGCATATAGAATGAGGAAGGCAGACAGTTAAGTCCTCAAGTAATAAGAGCACTCAATAATCAGACACCATAACAAGAAAAAGAATTATTCCCTTAGCTGCAAGAAATGAGTTAAGCTTTCTGATCCATACTTCCCCAGTTAGTCTTACATTACTGCAGAGAACTGAAATACATAATGTCTTCTTTAAAATAAAGTTCATGTTTAAAACCAGTTCACCTTTTTGCCTGGTTATCAAAGGACTGTTTCATTATTTCAGTCTTCTGATAGTAAGAAGCCTCACAACTGGAAGTTTTTGGATAGATGAGTAGTAACAACTTTTTCTTCCTATCTACGTCTATCCTGCTCAAGGCAGCAACAGGAACTCTGTAGTGGGTACACACTGTTTAACTTCAAAATAGCCCAGGTAGGTAAATAAACACCAAGCTCTATACTGAACAAGTGAGGTACTTTGAAGGTTGCCTCCTAGTTGTTAGGCATTCACTACTTTCCTCTTGTATTCTAAACCCTCTCTCCCTAGATCTCTAGCAGTCTCCTTTCTACCTATCACAAATTGAACTAATTGCTTCTGTGTAGCCAGAACTGAACAATTTTCTCCAGAAAAGAGCTCTGTATGTCATCAGAAGTATCAATCAAAAAACAACCAGCTGTCACTACGTGCTTTTTATTTGCTGCTTGAAATTTAGAAACAGTTAAAGATTCTGTAGCTAAAACCAACTAAGATTTATGTCAATGGTCAGCAGGTAACGTAGCTTTCGCACCCCAAGGAACAATCTAGATTTCCTTCACACATCCACAGCACAGAAACCTCATACAAGCACTCTAGAAAAAGAGGTTATTTAAGGTGGATGCAAAAGTTCCAGGTTTCTTATTGTTTCAAATTATATGCTGTAATTTCCAGCAGTACTGCAAGAGCTGGGTAAAAGATACTACAAATAATCAGGGCAATTGTCTCATGTTCTTAGCAGCCATGAAGTCCTTAAAGAGCTCTCATAACGGTTTGAGAGAGACCTCACTTATCCCCCCACAGACCCAAATATTGTGCTGTCTCATCCTTTTGATCCCATCCATGATCACTCTGCTGCAATAATTTCTGCTGATCCTTACTTTGCTGATACTGTTGTGCTGCCCTGTTAGCAGCATCCACTCCCAACTGCAACTCTTCCTTCTGCAGAGGACCCGTAACCCCAGTCTGAGGAAAAAAAAAAAGAAATCGGGAGGGTGAAACAATGTCAGCTTATTCACTTCAAATAGTTCAATAAAAATAAAAAACCCACAGCTTTTCCTTAAAAAACTCTAATGCCACATAGCTTCTGCAAACAAAGAACACCATATACATGAGGAAGACGGAATTTACTCACCAGATTCTCAGTTCATATGCTGAAAGACCGTATGCGTACAATCTGATCCCTTCTACAGTATTAGAAGTGTAGTGCCATGAACACAGCAATTAAAGGCAAGACCCAGCTTCCAAAATTACAAAACATTTAAGATAAAGGGGACAATTATTTTGTGTCAAAAAAGTACATGAGCTGCGTACTGCAGTAAAATTAATATCTGTGTAGTTTGCCATGAAGCGACACATTAATGTATGTTCCATTTTACCTCTGAGCAACAAAAGAGTTAGCAGAACATCAACAACTGACAACATGCAGCTTTGGCTTATACATACATGCTTCTCAGACTCTATGGTACTACATGAATACAAACAGAAAATGAGATAGGGTAACTGATGAGTAGGAGGGCTTGAATAGCTTGGGTAGTAGTCATACAGCTCACCACCCTTTGTATAGTTCACACAGTAAAAATGCTAATTCTCCAAAAGCACCACATTTATACAATAAGATTTTTCAATTATTCTGGACGTGCAATCTGTCTTTGCAGTTTAGAAAACAGCTGAATTTGGGTTTTGTGGCTACTAAAAAACTTTGTAAAAATCTTTGCAGTCCTATTTCATCCCTAGGGACATCTTTGGACAACTATGAAGAGTTTCTGACACACTGAAGCTTGGTAGGACTTTTTAAAAAGCCCTCACTTTTACTATTTTATCTTAATTGTAGGTCCCAAGAAAGGAGCTCTGAGGAAAAGGACCTGGGTGTGATGGTGGACAGCAGGCTGGCCATGAGCCAGGAGTGTGCCCTATGGCCAGGAAGGCCAACAGTATCCTGGGGTGCACTATAAAGAGTGTGACCAGCAGGTCAAGGGAGGTTCTCCACCCCCTCTACTCTGCCCTGGTGAGGCCACATCTGGAGTATTGCGTCCAGTTCTGGGCTCCTCAGTTCAAGAGGGACAAGGATCTTCTGGAGAAAGTGGAGGCCACAAAGATGATGAGGGGCTGGAG